CGTAGTCGCCGATCCATCCATCTTTCGTCGTAAAAGCATACTTGATTTTCGCGAGCGTATCCTGCCACTTCGTGGTCACTGTACCTATCTCTTGACTCTCGGCGGACGAGTATTGCCCCGTTTCTTCAGCGTACTTAGACTTCGGCTCCATCTCGCTTCGGGAGTCGATGACCATCATTATTCCCACTCAACCTAGTGGGATTTTAGTATGCTGAATAAGTTCTCACAACAAATACATTTCAAAATCGAGCTGCAAGGTTATATATCAACCTATTAGCCATTGTTGACTCGTGGTTCTAGATCAGCAGGAGCCTTTCCCACGATAGGCATTTCTGCGCTTGTAAACCCCGCGATAACCAGCCCATCGGGATCCGGCTATTGTTTGTACCTGATAACACTGCGATGATACTCGTGCGTATGCCGTGAGATGTGCGACGGGTGACAGAGTACGTGAGCTAGATAAGAGGGGAGATATCACTAGCGTCGGCCGCCCCATGTCACCTTAGCGAAGGCGCGAAAGCGGAGAGCGGCGGAGGCGACTGTCAGCGCACGCCTATGGGAAGTCGCGACGATGCAAATAGGAGGTTGGAAGTAATTGCGTGAAGTAATCATTCGCCTAGATTCCCAAGTTCATTGACGAAATTAGGAACGGATGAGATGTCCTAGAAACTTGAACCTACACCTTCACAAAACCCTCTAACGCCGTACCTAGCATCCTCGTAGATCTTAGCCAGCAGTATCAGCACTACTTCGAAAGAATATGGCAAAATCAATGCAAACGCCGCTGCGCCTCTTGACGAATGCGACCATCGTCACCATCAATAAGAGCCGGGAAATCATACTCGATGGCGCAATCCTCGTTGAAAACGGCCGTATCACAGCACTCGGAAAGACGTCTGATCTCATCGACCAAGTCAAACAGAACGAGGATATAGATCTTGATATTGTCGACTGCAAGAACAAGATCGTCATACCGGGCTTGGTCAACACGCACGCCCATCTCGCGCAATCACTGCTCCGTGGACTAGCCGAAGATCTCCCATTACACAACTGGTTATGCGATGCCATCTGGCCCTTGGAAGCCAACTATGCCGAAGATGATGGCTATGTGGCTTCAATGCTGACGATCGCGGAGATGCTGAAGACGGGAACGACATGTTTTCTTGAGGCTATGCTTACGCATAGGAGTGGCCTTGAGAACGTCGTCAGAGCAGTGGAGGAAACTGGCATTCGTGCGTGCTTGGTAAGTGTCGCGAAGCAAGATCAATGCAACGAGCTGACGTAGCTACTAGGGCAAACTGATCAAAGTCGGCGAGACGAACTCAGATCTCAACATGAAAGATGCTAGAGATCGGGACGTAGACTCAATGTCTGTGGAAGTTGCACTATCAGCGCACAAGAAGTACCATGGCTCTTCCGACGACCGTCTGCACATGTGGTTTTCAGCGGGCACACCTCGAGGCTCACCAATGGCGGTCCATGCTACGATCGGCGAAGCAGCGCGAGCACACGACATCGGTCTCACTATGCACTGCGCGGAAGCTCCTAAAGACCTACCCATCTACCGACAATATTATCAATGCAGCCCTTTCGAGTTCTGCCGAGACACGCAGCTGACAGGATCCAAGTCGGTCTTCGCTCACTGCGTACATCCGGACCCAGCCGCTGGAGATTTCGATATCTTGCGCGAAAGTAAAAGTACTGTCTCGCATAACCCTACAAGCAACCTCAAGCTTGGATCTGGTGTGGCACCGATACCAGACATGGTGGCCAGCGGTGTGAACGTAGCTCTGGGGACCGACGGCGCACCATGTAATAACACGTATGACATGTTTCGGGAGATGCATCTAGCATCCATTCTACATGGCGGCGTCAGACAAAGTGCTGGGGTCCTCAGCGCGTATGATGTCTTGGAGTTCGCGACGATCAACGGCGCAAGGGCGCTAGGACTAGAAGATGAGATCGGAAGCTTGGAGGTTGGGAAGAAAGCGGATATCGTCGTTGTTGAACCAAAAGGCGTATCTTGTGCTCCCTGGGACCCGAATGAGCAGGCTTCCGGCGGTATCGATCCGGTCACAGTGCTGATCCATTCTTCTGGTGCCGATGTCGATACAGTTCTTGTAGATGGTCAGTTGCTTGTCAGTAACGGTAAATTGTTGCACATTGATGAGGAGACGATCATACAGAAAGCGAAGAATTCAGTGGCAGACATACGGAAAAGGAGCGATGTAGGTGCGCGAAACCACATGTCGTTAAAGTATATATGAATTCAGAATTGAAATGAGAGTAAGTCATCAAACAGACTTTGCCCCCCAAATCCTGTTTGTGGCGGTAGCAAGTTCATGAAAGAGTTCCATGAAGTATCTCCTACGCTTATAGGAACGTCTTCGGTCGATGATGTGGGAGTTGTTACCTGCAAGTCCTGGGCTACGTCGCTGATGAAGCTCTCCACGTTGAACCTACGGGCTCGCTTGCCCGATGATGACGAAATTCCACCACTTTCCGCAGGTCGTGTACGCTTTTTGTTGTTCACGCTTCCACCCTGGAGCTCGCGTTGCAATCCCGACAGCAATCGCACGCCGCGCGAGGCAATTTTGCTATGTTCGAATCTACTTAAATAACCGATTGCGTCAGCAACGAGTCTGGTATGTTCGTCAAACTCCCTGTCACTGGCCGATCGATGAAGAGAATCGAGACTGAGAATGATACCCGCTGCGACTGAAAAGGCTTGCTCGATCCATAGTATTGGGCCCTGCTCATCGCTGCCTGATAGTGCCTCTTTCAATATGGTCTTCGACGCCGCGATACAGGTACGCCGAGTGAATGAAAACGCGGAGTTGGTGAAGGAGAGACCGATGAATTTTCGATGTATCATAATGATCTTGTGTGAAGCACATATAGCCAGTGATCGTCTAGCCCAGCCAACATAGATAGGCCAATCGGTCGCCACCGGCGCATTTGTTGATAGAAATGTTGGTATAAATGCGGTAGCAAGCTTCCGCATCTTCTCGTCGTAATGCAGTACTTGTTCATACTTTGTGAAAAGCGTGTTGCATCCTGCCATTGAATCTAGGAGCTGCGGCATGAGTGCAGCAATATCGTAGCGATAGTTGCAATAGCTCGCTTGGGTGGGTATGCTCAACGGATGCGGTACCATGTCGTCGTCATTGCAGTTCAACGGCTTAACGGTCGTAAAGAAGCGAGGGTTCAGTGTATATGACTCAGAGAACGGAATCTGGAACCAGTCTTGCGTGCAAAGCTGATTGAACACCCGTCGACCGGCTTCACGTTGACGCAGCTGCTCCTTCGAGGTGGCAGAGGCTGCGCTTTCTGGTCCAAGTCGGTGCAACCCAAGACTCTGAGCAATACGACCAGCCGATGCAAGCAGTATTGACTGACTGTTCGACTTGCCAAGGATATGAGCCGCAATAGTCAATGTTGCAATGGCTTGAACAGAGTAGATGGTATGAGCCTCGATGTAGCCAGCGATTTCGAGACTCGTTACAGTCGCTTCGTACCATCTTTGTGACAACGTCTTCCTCTCTTCTGACGAGAAACCCCAAGACTGATATACTGATTGCGGCGCACATGTGATACTGCCAGTTATGATGGCGAACAGTAGGCTAAGCCATTGCAGATTCAAGCCTTGGTGCCGGACGTCGCCTTCGTAGTCTCCAAGAAAGATATCCAGGTCGTCCTTGAATATGGCTGAGGAGTAAGAACCATGGTACCATAAGATGGTGGTGCTGTGATACTCCACAAGTTGGACGATATGAGTCTTGTTCGGAAGAAGCGCTTCAAGTACATCAAGCTGTGCATCCCTGCTGGTTTCATATAGGATACTGGATGCAACCGCATCATCCTCATCTCTGATACTCAATCGCCTTGGCCCACTGTTCTGCTCTGGTGATGTTCCGTAGTCGATGTCTTTCTTACGGCCCCATGCTAGAAACTCCAACACGGTAGCTGCATCATCAGTGTCCGCAGATTGTGATGCGTTATTGTTAAGAGGTGAAGTAATCGCTGCATTGTGAACTGGACTCGCTGGTGTGTCAGAGATTTCCAGAGGCAAGGGTGCTTCGCTCGAGGCCATATCACATTGTTCCTGTAGCTTGGCTTCAAGCTGACTTACGCGGTCGAGTAGAGCGCGCACTAGATCGTCAGGTGCTGTCGCTGCACCTTGAGCTTGGTAGGCGGGTGGTGGTACAGAGGATGTCACAGGCGCGTCTTCTCTCGTACAGAAGCTTGCATATCCCCTGTTTTACTTAGTATGAGATGGTTCGGGCAGCTTGCGCAGTACTAAGAAGCCCGGTCACTGGGTTCCCAAAGGAAAGCCATCCACAGTCGCGCAGGCTCAGACTTCACCGAAGACTCGCGAATACTAGACTGCCTTGGAAACGGAGGAGCTGACCTTCGAATGCATGTGCTGCAAGGCACATTCTTATCGCATTTGATCTTCCTTCTATAGCACTCTGTACATGTCAGACGGGGTCTCGGCCCTTTCGAGGTGCTGCTGTCGTCCATGGTAAGGTTGACCGTGTCGGTCGTGAATTAGGTGTCACGATCGAGGACATCTCGATGCAATGAAAGCGTCTTTCTCAGCATCGCGTTCCCGGTGATTGGCAAGGTGCGTTGGCTATCAGTTGGCTATCGGCGTGCAGTTGCGGTGGGGAAGGAAGATGAACAGGGTGCGGCCGACAACGCGGAACCTTCCACAACCTGGCCTCGGCCCCACTTCGTCGAGATCTCGACCGCGACTTCCGTCTCGCAGGCTGCGGGTGCCTATCTAAGCAGCACGACACACGTGTTGGTGATGACGGCCGATATGAGCGGCCGCCCTGGTCGCGTCGGCTTTGGCACGCCTGAACGCATACTGCGACACTACATGCGTAGAAGCAAAGACGACCGAGCATAAGAATAGGTACAGTTTGCCCCCAAGACACTACGGTCATATATCAAACTCACCAACGTCAATCAGCGCGAATACCAACCCTCTCATTATGGCACCGACGAAGTATGTTGATCGCCCTGTGCCGAAAATCTCCCTCCGCGACTTCGATGCGCGCATCGATGTGATTACAAAGGAACTTGTTGATGCTGCAGAGAATCACGGCTTCTTCTGCATCGTAGACCACGGCATAACACGCGACGCTGTCGATGGCATCTTCAACCAGTCAGCGCGTTTCTTCAATCAGCCCGATCCCGTGAAATCGCAAGTGCCATTCTCCCCTCAACACAACGCCGGATGGGAGAAGAATGCTCAAATCCGGCCATCTACTGGTGCAGTCGACCGCAAAGAGTCTTATCAAATGCAATTCGGCGAAGGCATGAACGGTGAGCTGGTTTCTTTCGTCTCATGTGTATGGCCGTGCTGATCGTTGGATAGGTCGATGGCTGAGTGACCAGACCCTTCCGGGGTTCCGAGCAGAGGCTTTGGAGTTCATGCACAGAGTACAGGCAGTCAGCGAGAGGCTCATGAGGTGCTTCGCGCGAGGGTTGAACTTCGAGGAAGCTTACTTCGTCAAAGCTCACGATGTCAGCCGACCAGAGTCTCAGACTGTCTGCCGATTATTACATTACTTTGAGACTCCACAGGTGCCAAATCCAACAGGAGAGGTGCATCATCGAGCGGGCGCACACGCCGACTGGGACTTCTTGACTCTGCTGTTCCAGAAAGCAGGGCAGTCTGGCCTTGAGATCTGTCCGGGGCGGGAAGTATCAACTTCGTTCGGGTACGGGGATGCGTGGACCAAGGTTGAGCCGGACGCAGACAAGAACGCAATCGGTATGTTGATGCGCTCTGTCGACCTGAAACCTCTACTCATGCTCCACAGTCTGCAACGTCGGTGACCTCCTTATGTCGTGGTCAGATGACCGCTTCAAGTCGACCTTTCATCGTGTCAAGGCTCCATGTGAGCCTGATGACTTCTACGGCGAGCGCTACAGCATCGCCTTCTTCAATCAGCCATGCAAAGACGCCAAGATCCAGGGCCCACTGAGGAAGTATCCAATGGTGACGGGTGAGGAGTTTACGAGGAATGCCATGAGCCGGAACTATCAGGCTATACAAGATAAACTAAAGAAGGAGAAGGAGCCGGCGGTAGCGGTTGTCGAAGTGAGCGCGACGGTAGCCGAGGTAAGTGCTACGTGAAGTTTGTCTCTGGAATAGTAATCGATGTCTTCAAGGATCCACCAAGATGTTTCGTCCATCGAAATAGCCCTGAAGTGCAGAATGATGCAATCTCGATTGTGACTTCAGAATATTCGCGTTCTTTCATTTCCATGGTTTCTCACAGATCCTAGCGCGGATGCCTAGTCGACCCGCTTATTCCTCGCACCTGCCCTAACATTTAGCCTTCTATCCTTTGCTGATCGCATTTCCTCAAACCAAATTCGGCCGTCTACATTCCACAATCGACACGACAAGCGCAATACCCTTTATGAATCCAACGACTCTGCCCTTGGCAGATCCTTCGCCCATCGAGAAGCTGCCCGCCGAGTTACTAGAGTGCATGCTGCTGGAAGTTGCGAAGCATGCTGTACCGCCAGTCACCGAAGACGAAGACATTGGATCTGTTGTCTATCGATACGCCCAGGAAGAGGAGCAAGCGTGTTCGCTCGCATTTCGCCTCACGAGCCGCCGCTTCCGTAATTGTTCATGGAAGGCTTTCGGTGCTTACCTGGGCGAAACAATATTCGATCTGAGATCGCGTCAAAGTATATCCAACCTTACCGCGGCGTCTACGTGCGAGCCTCTGGCTCCTTGGGTTACAAAACTTATTATAGCCTGCGCTGAAGTGCCCCCGGGGTACCCACTCGATCATGGGGCAATGCCGATGCGGATGGAGCAGGCAGAGTGGGATCAACTACGCCAAGACTCTTACTCAGATCTACTACAAATCAAATTGGCTGAAGACTCTTGGTACCCCCGCATCTGGAAGCAGAAGGGTTACGGATCTCCAATGACGGGTAGCGGCATTCCTACTTCCGCATCGCCTCCACGTCTTGCTAGAGCCTCCACCTCTATGAGTATCATCCAGGAGGCCGGGATGAGGGCCCTTCAAGAGGTCTTAGCCCAGGCTTTGTTCTGCTTCAAGAACATTGACAATATCGAATTCTACCACCAGCCTCGTACCCGACCCGGGCGATATCATAACCTATTCCAGAAGTTTCGAAATATCCCACGCTACCGCGAAGAAGAGGATATGAGAAATGCTGGTAATATAGCTCATCTTGGCCTTCAAATCCTCATTCAAGCCATGGTAGCATCGAAGATCACAGTCCGCACGATGACTCTGGCCGTCGATCTCGATGAACATCACGCGTTCATCACCAACATCCCCTCTGTAATCTTCGCGAAAGCCAGTCAAAAGGTAGAAACGCTTGTTCTAAGAGACATGTACTGCCCCTACTACCAAACACTATCATATAGAAAGAAGGGTAAAGTACCCGCCACGAATAGCTCTTAAGATATCTTGCTAACTTGCTACTAGTATGTATCTCTTATGCTATGCTTTGGCAACGCGGTTCTGAGACATCCTATCATTCGTGCTAACAGCTTGATAGGGCAGATTGTCGATCACGAGAAGTCTCTTTCCTCGCCTTCGCTCGTTGGTGGTCGATCATAGCAAACATAGCGAATTCATCAATCCTCGGCCGATCATTCCGCTTCCTTCGCCTTCCGACACACCTGCTCTCGACAAATTGACTGTGAGAAATACTAGGATGAATGCCGAGAATTTGTATTCATTTCTACAATGCTATGGGCAGCAGGCTCGGTGCATATCATTCGAGAGCCCGGCAGATTGGGAATACCGCTCCGCGTTGGAGTCCGTGCGCAATCTTCACGTCGAGACACTTGAGATTGAGCATCGTTACGGGGAGGAGGCCTTCTGGAAGTCGATCAACAGCGAAGAAGCGGGTTACGAATCGGAAGATTCAGAGACGTTAGATCTTGAGGAGTTCCCGAAAAATCTTGCGAAAACAGTCAAATTTCATCCGCCTTCGTTCAAAGTTGCACTAGAACGGTACTGGCTCAAACATCCTGAAGGACAGTCAGGTCGATGAGTGAACGGCAATGCAAGAGCGAAGCTGCTGAGAACTTCGATCATGGCTCAGAGTAGCTCCATGAAAAGTGCGCAGATGGTGAGGTGGCTTGTATACCCTGATACACATGCAAAGGTAGTTAATGAAAGATATTAAGATCTCAATTCCATTCTACAGAAAATCCATGCCGTTGAAAGATAGCATGGGCATAAGTGACATCTGGCACAGCACGTGAGAGACTCAAGCCATATCCTGCCTACCCAATATGTATGAATGCCTCCTTAGACTCGAGACTTCCCTCTGCGAGTTCGTTACCCAGAAAATGCGAGCCATCACCCACAGAAAAGCGACCACCACCATCAACAGAATAACCATGACATTATCGGCTGCTTTGTTGCCCAAGAAGCCGTAGGAGTATACGCCGTAGCCGAATGTTACGTCGACGTAGACCGACACGATGAGTGCAAGGCATACAAGAAGAGCTGCGTATGGAAGTCCGAATCGCCTTTGGAGTTTGAAGATTGGGGAGTGGCGAACAAGGTCGACTCCGTGGGTGTGTACGAGATGCTCGAGGCGGTCGGCGGGTCCGTGAGTCTCGTGTGCGCTGGTACTGTCTGAGTAGGGACTGGCCATTGATTGATACATCTTCGTGTTGGTTGCGGTGGCAGGAGTTGTTCGGGTATGGTGGAAGCCATGGGAATTTTATATGTCGAGGTCGATAGTCCAACCTTTTGTTTCACCCCATACCGCCGCGTTCACTAGCACAGATCTGGTCCTTTCCAGTTCTTTACTGATGCTAAGAACTCTCCCATCATCGGGCAGCATCTTCACTCTTTCATTCCCATTCCCCATCTCAGACCACTGCATCTTCACAGCGCCTCTCCCTTCGTGCACATGCCCAAAGCAATGCAATCTTGGCTTCACTCTCTTCACTGCATCGCCTAGCATTTTGCATCCGGAGCTTTCTCCTTTCACATTGACATCGAGACCGTAGCCGAGTTCGTCAGTGAATGAAGGCGGTCCATGCGTCATCAAGATATCGATATCTTCGGGTATGTTGCTGAATCGATCTTCGTCTTTTCCGTACGCAAATGCATACCCATTAAACTCCGGAGTATACGGACTCGCCCAGACACTGAAGCTTCTCCCATCCTTCAGCTTGAACTCATGTCTACCTTCTTCCAGGTAGTATACACCCTCTTTCTCGTGCGACTTCATGAAACTGACACATTTCCTACTGTCCTCTATATCTTCTTCCTCTTCTTGATCTTCAGCGTTCTTGCGCACCCACTCTTCATCGAGATCGAGGTCATGGTTTCCGGCGATGACGAGTTTGAGCTCTGCGTCGACGGTCTGAATGTCTTGCATAGCCTTCCTGTATGCAGGAAGGCCGCCGACTTGAGTGAGATCACCACAGTGGATGAGGATGTCGCATGGAGGTGCAGGGCAGTCTGGGGTGTAGGGCCAGGTGGAGTGAGTATCGGAAATGACGAGGAGGCGGATGATTGGCGACATGGCGGAAGCGAACTTGGGGATATCGTAGATGAGTGTGTCGAGTAGATGCTAGAGAACCAATATTAATCTGTAGTGAGACTGAGTCATGTTGAAAGATCATTGGCATTGGCATGAAGCCAAGGTTGGTAGAATCGCTACCAAATCGTAGACTTGGGCCCACTATTGCAATGCGCATGCCAATCAAATCTCACTATGACCAACCCTCCCCGTCCTCACCCAGTTTAAACAGCCCGTTCTTTTTCTTGTCCGCCGCCCATCTGTCACACCAGGCCTTCATCTTCTCTCTGCTCTTTGCGCTGCCCACGTTGACTGTCGGGATGATCTTGTCGATGCGCAAAGCGCAGCAAAACATAGTCAGCTCTCTGAAGCTGCTATGCTCACTGTACGGCACACCGAAGCAGCTTGCCCGACTTCCACTCCCAGCTTGCGGCGTCAGTTCTTTCATAGAGAAGGTACTTCTCCAATTGTCGGAATGCAAGACGGTCTGTACTTGGGGTGACTCGGTAAAGCGACCCTTTGGTGGACGATAGTTCCAGCCCGAGGGTCTAAAGCCGACAACGCGCGTAAAAGTGTCGGCATAATCGCGCAGGTAGTCGTCCAATGTCTCCGCGCGGATCTCAAACAACGGCGTCATGTGTACTTGAGCTGCCCGAGGATCTGTCGTAAGTAGTGCATCCAGTTCAGGGTCCTCAAGCGCTTTGCAAATGCGCTGTTTGTTGGCAGGCGCGAAGATCTTGCTTCCCAGGGCCTTCGCAATCCCAGTGCAAATGCGCTCCTTACCGATGCTGTATGTGCCTACCACAACCAGAAGTCGGCCTCGTGCAGGGCTTTTGGGCTCGCCGGTAACGTCAGTATTGGAGTCTTTCTGAACGAACTTGACCATGCCTTGGCCTGCGCGGTCTCGCTTCATCTGCTCCCATCCATCGGAGTCGTCCGCGCGAACTTTGCTGAGACTTACGCACATGTCCGCGCAAGCTTGGATGACCTGCTTCTGAGGCGGAAAAGCGTATTTGGGGTTCAGGTAGGTGGTGTCAAGGTAGCAAGCGTCTAGCTTTTGCTGCCGATTCTTTCCACTCACAGCATCGAGGACGTCTGGGCGCAATAGCGGGTGTTCGATGTGCGCTTGACATGCACGGAAGTCTCCGCAGTGTAGCACTCGTTGTAGCTTCGGGTTCTTGCCCTTGCTGAGTTCCTTTTCGAACAAGAACAGAGAGCTGCCAGGGCAATGATTCGCAGAGATCATTGTGACGTGGACGCCTTCCGTTCCGGGTACTTCTGTCTTTTTCTCAAAATCCAGATCGACCACCCACTTGGGGTCCACACGAAGCTGTTGTCGTACCAAGTTGCCAGTGACTTTGCTACAGTATATCGGTCCATGCTTCCACGAGGAAGTAAGTCCGATATAGTGATCGCTGTGGAAATGACTCAGGAAGTAGGCGTTTTGGCCTTTGACGGCCCCATAGCGGAATGCGTCAACAGCGATGAACAAGCCAGGCATAATCTTGTAGAACGGGCAGGTGCGTTGATATGCAGGCTTGCCGCGAGACTTGTTGTTCTCGGCTGCAGCTGATGCCCAAGCAGCATCCTCAGCATGGCCGGCCATAAGCTTTGAAAAGGCTGAACTTGGCTGAGCGCTGGGCTTCGCGAGCTGAAACGGGTTGGCTTGACCGGGTTTAGCTGGCCTGTCCGGCTTTTTGAAAACTTTCGCCTTACTCGTCATGGTCGGCTTGCTCTCCTCAGACTTCACTACAGGTAAAGGGAGTGGATTGCCGTCTAGGCAAGCATTGACGTGTACGGATACGTCTTGTTCTGACAGGCCTGGAAGATTGTTGCCGCATATCGGACAGGAAGGTATATCATTGGTACGTGGCTCTTCGTGTTTGACTTCGATATCATCGCCTTCAGGGAATAGAGGTGGCGCGTCGAAATCGTCCGGGTCGCCCTCAAAGCCTGCCTCTTCCATCTCGAGCTTCTGTTGTTCCTTCATCCATCGCCTTTCATCGTATTCTTCGCCTTCGAGCAGATCGTCGTCTTCCAGATCCTCGTATTCCTCCAACTCTTCGCCCCCGTGTTGCGATGTCGACTCGGACTTTATGGGTGTGGTATCGTGGTATTTGGAGAGTTCGGCACTATCCGGGGGTAACAGGTCCTCCGTTGGTTTAGTCATTGGCGATTCCTCATTATGGCTTCGTATGGTCATACCTGGAGTTGTAGCAGGCATTTCCACTTCGTCGTCTTCGGAGTCTGAGTCGTCCACGAAGGGTCCAGACTTCTTCCGCAGTTTGGGCGCTTGCTTAGAAACGTCGGCAGCCAATGCATCCAGAGCATTGCTCTCAACATCAGCCGGCGGGGGTGGTGAACAGGCCGGCACAGGCGCTACCGCCTCTTCGCTGACTTTGCGCCTCTTGTTGCTCCCCCCATTCTCGTTGTACCGCTCATCACTGTTGTCTGTAGTCATGACGCCATTGCTCTTCTCGTCGCTCCAGCCCACGTCGTCCTCGTCGCCGTCAAGCACTATGGTTGGATTTGACCCTCGTTCTTGTAGGAATATACGGCTATTGATCTCCTCGGCTTTCTTGAAGAATGCCATGATGTTGCCGTTCGGAGTACCGGTCGGCTTCTGCTTCTTGCCATTGCCAGCAGGCGACTTCTTAGCAAAGTCGGCTGGCGTCAAAGTGGTCTGGACGCTGGTTTTCTTTGGTGGGGGCGCTTTCGTGCTCGGCTTGGGCGCAGCCTTCTTCGTTGCGGTTTTGGCAGCCATGTCGGCCACTCGAGACGATGAGCGGGGTGGCGATGGAGCCCGGCCGGTAGAGGGTGTCAATCGGGACGATTCGGGCAAAGAGCGGTTTTCTCGAGGATTTCTAAACATTGAAGAAGTAGTTGCGCATGGCTGAGTAGGGTTGTGGTGCTCGTGTGCTGTGCAATGTGCGAGTGAACCGGTGGCGACCGAGTGGCTCAACACGCGCCAAGACAAACGCGTCGACACGTGCGGAGACGCGCTCTGAAAGTGCCGGCTGCTCAATTATGGCATGTTTTTGCAGTCATAAAGTTCCTCGTGTCCTTCACCAGCCATTACACGTATGATACACATGGCCATGCATCTGACATACTCCTCTAGTGTATGCGCCCTACAGCCTGTGAACCTGTGAGGTTGCTGGCGGATTCGGAGAGCGATTACGTCAGCGAACGCGCTTGTGCCCGCCGCAATGTCTTCTAGCAAACCGACATCCACGAGCAGTTGTCTGCGAGCAACTAAGCTTCTCAATTCTCATGCCGTAAGCATTGAAACTTCATCTCCGATTCGATTCGCACTGTTCAGCGCATTGTACCCTCACTGTCCATGGCCGGTCTAAAATCCTCAGGGGTCTTTTCATCATGTCTGTTCTTCCTGAACGGGCCCCTCGCCTGCATAGCCACTGCTATAAACAGATAGGTAGCAGGATGGCACGCTCATCCGGCCTAGTATTGGCATGAGGACACGCCCTCGTGGGCCAATTGTCGACAAGCTGACGCGGCCACTGCAAGCTGCTGAACGCCATGTCACGTGGCTTTGACGCCCCCGCGATGACTGCGCTTCACCTCGTCATAGGGCGTTATCAACAACTTGGTCGTTGTGGTACGATGCTATTCCCTTCGTGTGCACAATCGCTCGGTTGGCGCGGAATCGCATCCCCACAATTCAATGGCCGTGCTGCCCAGCTAAGATCAGCATCAAACATCACCTCGTATCCCAAAACGGAAGCCCAGCCTCGAGACGATCAAAATAGCAGCACCTCAGAAGTATCATATCTTGAACGCCCTGAGGCATCGAAAGTCGTCTCACTCACACGCGATGAAGCGCAGACCCGACGGCCTCTTCTTACTTTTCTTTCGTGTCATGTACCTCACCATCTTCACAGGGTTCACGTGTTTTACCATTCTGGGCTTTGCGGCTATTGGAACTGGCATTGGCATTGCAGCAACAGTTGTAGTTGCTATTGGGTCTGAGGTTGCCTTTGTGCTGGCTAAGAAAGAGGAGGCAGAGAAGCGGAGACAGGAGCGATATCTGGTATGAAAAGAATGTACGGCATGACAAACTCAAAAGGCTCGAGAAAAGAAGAGGTTCAGGCAGAATGCCACTCATGGAGGAAAGATCTTGCTGAAAGGGAGGATCTCACAACATATGTTCTCACACCTTCCGCATCGACATCGCCGGCGCAACCCATCGTTTCCACCAGTTCCGGAGCAACTCAGTTACCTTGCCACACAGCAGGTCCAGGCGCAGTGTAGCTCGTAGCGATGGGATAGTACGACCACCTCAGGCCAGGATCGTTTGCATTGTATGCTCCAGGGAACGCAACCAGAGGCCCAGGCTGTCCACTACCACCGCCGGTAATCTCGACTTGCGCACAAGACAGATACATCTGCGCGCCACCGACTGACTGAGCTTGGTGGAGGGCGATGGATTCTACACGAACAAGATACTTTCCACTCGGCACGTTCTTAGGGACCTGGAACTGTACTTGTGACTTCCCTGCCGTAGGGTTAGCAAATGAAGGCGGAAGGAAGCCACCAGGACGGGAGATGAAGACGTACCATAAGCAGGCCAAGTGCTCTCCCCACTCGTCAACGGACTTCCCACCGCGCTTATACTCGCCGCCTTGAACCAAACGTTACCCGCCGGCTCCCACGTATTGACATTCGCACTATCTGGCACTTTCGCCATATAGAACTGCACTGGTCCGAAGTGCGTGATCGATGTCTCAGCGACGAAGCCGAGGTTATCACCAGCAGCGACAACGGCAGTACCCGTTCCAGGACGGTTCTGGAAACAGCGCATGTCAGGACTAGTGACGGACGTAACGCCCGAGTTGGTTTGGTAGTTCTTCGTTTGTCGGATTGAAGTCCATTCCGCCGATTCGGGTACGCCGTTCAGGATGAGCTTGGAGAAGCGGTCTTTTAAGAGTCAGTTCAGCACTTCTGACTACACTGTGGTGAACTTGCAATGAGCTTGCGCCGTCGCAGCGAGGGCGGAGAGGGCTAGTAGGAGATGCATTTAAGGCTGTCCAGTCGAGAAGTTATTCTGTGAGCACCCACCCAAAGCACCGTAGCAACCCGAATGATATATATAGCAAGTCTATCTGGTCACGCATAGTTTCTTGAATGTGCACTAAGATCTTTACAGTGTTCTCGGCAACTGAGAATGCACAGGCGAGATGCATATAGATTAATATCATGCACACTCATATTGAGCCAAGCATGTAGATGAGGTGCGTACCGTGAAAGCACGCGTGACCATATCACACTAGCTTAATCTACTTGACAAATTCTATCTGAAGCTCGTCTCGTCTGCTGAAAAGGGAACGGACATTTTCCGCGAATCTGGCCTTCGAACCGTTTCCACGATTTTGCGTAGACCACAAATGTTCGACAGCCGCCACAGACACGTACACTTTCTTGACACCGTGGATCTTTCCAATATGAATAAGGGCGCCTAGGTATGCGCAGGGGAAGAGTGCGTAACTGCGCTGCCATTCCTGGTCAAACCACACCGTATTGATAACTCGCTTTTGAGCAGCCGCTCTATTGCCGAACCAATCTTTCATCGTCATCTCGTCCTGGAAGGAGAACTCGTTCATCTCGTACGGAATGAACCGAGTCTCATGATAGATTTGTCGACAGACGGCTTGGAATAGCGCCATGCGATCGTTGGTCGCGGTGATCACTCGTTCGTGTTCAAATCGCTGCTGCTGCGCCTGATGCCGCATATTAGGAGACACAAGATATGGACGAGATTTGTACGGCTTTGTACGATAATAGGACTGCCAGTCAGTTGGAAAGACGCAGTTGTGGAACTGCCGCGCTTGTACCTGGGATATCGCTTCGCGTCTATGAGGCGGATCCACACCGAAACGAGCTGGACCGGGAAGATCCACAGAGATGTTCGTGTCGTAGTCGTCAGTGAGAATGTGTACGTGTTGGTGACCAAGAGCATATTCGAAGATGACGCAACGGACTTCTGCTGGGAGAGATAGCAGAGGAGACTGCAAGCTATTACGTTCCACGCTGCGATCTCATTAGCCAAGGAGGAGCTGTTCGTGAATTGGATACATACATCGCACTGCGTGGATCATCCTTCGAGAGTTGTGCGTTGAGCTGACTGCCCCGATAGAGGGCGGGTTTATGGCCGTCTCGAAGATCATCTGACCCAGCCATAGCGTCCCTGATCATGGTATCCGCCGAAGAGGTGGACTCGCCATACTCTAGTCGCTGCCTCTTTCGCGCACGCGCAGCTTCTTCGAGTTTCTGGCTTTTGGCGCTGACCGCGGCGGTATCTAGATCATGGAAAACCTGCGGTTGATCTTCGGGTTTCGCAAGGCGAACAGAGCGGCGGACCATGATGATGTTGGGGACTTGTCTCGCTGACGTGTTGAGTGTGGGAAAGAGCGAGTAACAGCTTGAGCAGGCATTCAGCTCAAGGCAAGTGCAGTGGACCAGTGTGGGTCACTTATGCAACGGCTAACTTAACCCCTCGCACGTGCTTTAGGCTTCACTGATGTATCTACCTAGTTAGGTAGCACCTGAGCAGTCATCGAGCACCTAGGGTAATGAGATCCAGCAGTAGGAAACTGTTAGGTGGCGTAGTACATACCTACGAGTTCGGCTGCATCCGACTACGCCCTGGGAAGATCGGGCACATTAGTATATGATCTGTAGCCTACGCAATCGCTAATGACTGAAGGCAGAGGATTATCTTGATGCCAAAACTTTCGCAATGTCTTGTACTATTAATACTGTATTGGACAACAGCTTCACTGCAAATAGCTCCCCAAATACAAGCGGAGAAAGTACGCCAGAGTGTGAAGGCCTAGCGTGTCGTTAGCGTGCCTTACGCACACTCACATCTATGGGTCGCTTCCTACTCGCATAAACCCGTAGCAACTCTCAGCGTCCGGCGTACCCTTTCTGTGGAGCTTCTACACCCCTCTCCCGTTTACCGATACAACCACGCCCGTTATGAGTCGACATCCGCCCGTTATGCGCCTCTGTAAAGAGGTCGACACAGTCGAGAGCCATGCACGGCTGGGTCTCACAGAACATGGTCTCCTCAACACAAGCAAATTGGCTGTCTGCCTTATGTGAGCTATGAACGATGCGCCCGCGGTGACAAAAACTAATTCACGGAAGTGCTGAAAGAAACAGGAGCGCGTCGCCACTCCTTCGTTTGCCGGCAGAACTACGAAACATTGTCTTCACCATGGTCCTGCAGTAGCCATGTCTGCAGATACGCGATTTTGTTGTTCACACCCTGACTGCGGATATCATCTTGAGAACACAAATCTGCTACGGGGGACTGAACAAGGCGCTTGTAGAAGATAAAGAAGCGGAGTCGTACCCGTTACTATCGCTTGTCTGCAGACAGATGTACGACGAGACTTGTTTGTTACCATACGCCCTGAACTCCTTCGGCTTCACGTCAATGAACGCCCTGAGAATCTGGACATCAAGCCGCCTCCCCATACAGTCACGGCAAATCAAGGTGCTAAAGAGTCCAATATTTTTTGAACGAGCATACTTCGAGCAGTCCTGCAGATTCACAGACCTATTCCCACACCTTGAGGTGCTTTACGTCGACCTATGGAACGCCCGGTTTTCTAGCGAAATGAATGGTTGGTTGGCCGACCAGATTGAGCAGGACATTCAGGAGAGGACTAAAGTACTGTTGCAAAGGGAGAGGAGTGGCCTGAAGATTGTCGTTACTGAGTACACACATGTCGGTGT